CTTGGTGACATGTCTGTTATTTTTATTGTATTTTATTAAATTATTTTTTATAAACATTACATATGTTCATCTCACTGCCCTGATAATTAAATTAACCAGATGGAGAAACACATTTATAAGCCAGAAACACACTATATACACTGATCCGCTACAACATTAAAACCACTGATGGAAAAATCAGGGGGTCAGCATCCAGGAATATCTGAAGGTTTTCATGTCAGTCCCTAGTTGTTGGGATATTTGGCTCAAAGTTGGGGATGATCCAACGTTCCCACATTACTCTGAGTTTGGCCCATTGTTTTTTTACCCCCAGGGGCAAAAATAGACATTTTATGTCAAATCTCAAATAATAAAAATCATGGCACACTATCTTGATCTTCCTCCATAAATAAAGTTTTTTTTTCTAGTTCTAAATGGGCATCTACAGGTGATGATCCACTGATGGAGGATTGCGCCACATATAGTTAAAGCAACGAATCTGTTTTACCTAAAGGTAATTTTGTAAAACCAGTTGTATAAATTGTAAAATGATTCATGAATAATAAAATTACCTAAAGATAAGCTGCATGTAACGAAATGGCATCCACAGTATCTGATGTGTGTGTGTATTACGTTGCAGAGTTATTACAGTCCTGGTGATTTTCTTTTGAGTCTAAAACCTTTTTGGGGGTGCCTAATGTGTTGTTTTTTCTGGGGGGGGTGTTTGAGTGGGAGTTTTTTATGCAGGAAAATCCCTGCAAAGTAATCCTGGTCCACATATCCTTCTGGATCCATGGACTCAATTCATGCATGGAGTGGAGGGAATTTTCTGCCTTCATGGAGGTATGCAGTCACAGGCTGATCTGGTTCCCTCAAGCCTCAACAGTTGTGTTGTTAAAAGAGAAGGACAAGCTTTTATAAAACTGTCAAGTCCTTTAAAAACAATTCCTCTTCATTTCTTTAGGGATATATTATATTTCAGTTATTTGTCATTAACCTTTACAGGGCATTGTTTGGCCCATACAGTCCCTATAATTTACTGCTTTTTATGATTGCAGCTCTGAGAAGTTATTTTAAGGCTTTATAGTTCCATTTGTTCCATGTGGGTCAACTGAGGGGATCCGTCTTTCATCCACTTGACCCTCTGCCCCTGTGATGGAAGTTGTTTTGTCTGGTAGCGGCCACGGTGCAGGGTGTGAATACTACCAACCAACAGCTGATTCCTAATTGCGTTCGACCTCATAAGCAGTTGTATCTTAGAGCAAAGAGATGTTGTCCACCCTCAGAACAGCTGAGCCAAACAAAAATAATGTTTAGCAACTCTTTGCTTTCAGTCCCTCTTTTTCCTCTAAGAACTTGTTGACAAACCTGGCAGCAACAACCAAACCCCCCTCAGTCTTTTCATCAAATTAAATTATTTTTTATTAAAAATCATTGTGTTTGGAAGTGTAACTTCCCAGAAAGCTACTTATTTCCTCAAAAGAACACTTTCTGCTCATTTATAGAGTCATAAATAATCCTTCTTTCTCTCATTCTGGGTCTTGCTGCAGCCCTTCAGTTCATCAACTGTCTGAAACAAACAGCTTTAGTTCCCCCCTCTTTAAACCAATTTTCTACTGATTAGCTGCCCCTCACAAACAAGAGGTTTGACCAGCAGGTGGATGGGACATATTTGTTTGAGATATTACGTAGAAAAAAACTAAGTATTAAAAAAGATGAGATTTAAGAGCTGAGCTTTTGGCTCACGTGGATTACTGCAGGTTTCATGCGAACATCCTGCAATGGAACAGCAGAAAGCACAACAGGTGTACTTTAAAGCATCACTGGCTAATAATTTTATATGAACAGCTGGTGAAACGATAACGCTGATTGATACTTGATGCTACGCTCGCTGCCTTTTGGAGCATTATTATTTACAGCCCGTCCAACAAGTTTGTACGAGAGGGAAACTGAGTCTTTACTGTAAAACGCAAATTTTGTGTGAATGAAACAGGCAGTATGTGTGCGTATGTGTGTGTCCTGGAGCCTGTTTATGATGTGAAGTCGTGTGCTTCAGAACACACCATTTCTCCCCAGCTGTGTGCTTTGTCTGATCATCCGTTTCTGCCTCACTAACCTCTTGTTCTCCTCTCTGCTGAGGCTCCTTACCCCGGGGCTATTTTTCTCCCATCCTCTCTCTAAGAGAATAAGGAATTCCAGTGGCAAAAGCAATCAGTGGGCTCCACTTCGAAGCAGTCCCCAGCTGAATTCACTGTCAGATTAAAAGTGATTTCTTCGCTCTCTTTTCTGCATCTTTTCTTCTTCCCCCGGCCCCTCATGTGGCATCTCTTTTCTGCTCTACACCTCTCACTGGCTTTGCTTTCTTCTCTGCAAGAGCCCCCTCTTCTTCTCTGATGTTCCTTTTCTTGTGCCACCTTTTCTCTCCCGCCTCCTCTTTCCTGCTTTATGTTGCCCCTCAGACCTGTTTCTTCAGGGCCGGCCTGCCACTGTTAATTTTGGCCAGTGTACCATCTAACTTTAGAAACTGCGCTGTATGCATTTTGCTGTATGGAGTATCCTTTTTCACCTGACTTTTCAGATGGGATTTCCCCCCCCCCCCTTCTTTCTTTTGTTCTAAGGAAGGCTGGAGGATTGTGTGTAAAAGTGCAACTACTAAAATAATCCATTATCTTTTCATTAGCAGAGGGGCACACAGACAGTGATGTATGCAGAGGAAAGACAGGGCTTCAAAGCAAAACAAATGCTGCTCCTTTATTATTGAAGCATATGCACTGAAGCTATCACACAGCAGTCTAAAGACACCTTACTTAAAGGCAAAGGAAACAAGTGTGAAGGAAAATTGGTTTAATTTGACACCACATTAACTGTGATGTTATATTTATGCTGAAGAACCTCAGGAGTTTTTTTTAACCTGACACAGAGTGTGAAATCTAAACTGAAACATAAGAAGAATAAGTTCGAAGACTGAAAGCAGGAACATTTGCACAAGCATTTTCTTTACTTGGTGAAAGTTCTTAACAAAGCCCAGAGAAAATTTATGGATGAAGTATGCAGAAACCTTGAGTTTAATACAACTGTAGATGTAGACTGTCCTTGGGCTGCTTCATTCTCATGTTCTTAGTGTTTTTCCCTTTATGCTGCATCTGTATCTCCTGTTTGTCTGTGTCGTTGTGCATTTGTGTGATGTTGAATAATTGGAAAACTGAGTTGCAAGCATAAACTATGTAAAATATATACCTTTAAGTACATATAGCCACTGTGATGTTACCCATCGATCTTGGACTCCACATTCACAAAGTTTTGGCTCGACCAAGTTGTTTCTTTATTTCTAAAAGTGACCATTTTGGATGAGAGAATGGAGTGCTAACTTACCAGCTGGCTTTATTAGACAGAGATACCTGCTGATTACTGCTCAGTCGATTCAAATCAGTTTATTTATATAGCATTTAAACATATAAGACATAAAAACACTGCACAGTAAGTAAAACAAACACAGGATGACAAATTGATGAAAAATGAATACAATTACAGGCTGAAAATAATACTACAAAATAAAATAAATAAAAAGGATTAATAAAAAAACAGTCAAAGTGGCCGTGCCCCTAATTAACAAACTTTAAACAGGTGAATTAAAGAATATTCTCCTCCATTCTTTGGTTTCTCATATAAACATGTTTAGTTTTGCTGTAAAGTTGGACTCTATGGGTTGTGGGTTTGATGCATTTAACCGATGAAGATTTCTGAAAGCAAAGAAACTGAATGAAAACCTAGTTGCTGGTTTGCAACTGAGAAAATAGTTGACGTGCGCAAATAGTGAAGTAGACTGTAAGTAACCCTGAAAACCAGTCAGGTTAAAGGAATTACATGGTGGAGATAGTTATCAACATGGTTTAAATGCTGTTTTGTTTCCAGTAAGAATTAAAAGCAACTACGTCCTAGGTCCTGGATTGTGACTATCTGAGGAGAAGTTAACTTCAGAGTTAGACTGTTTAAATTTGCTTCCTGTTTTTTGGTAGTGACTTTCTTTGGGCATTTTTTCCTCTTTTCTTTGCCTGTGTTTTTCTTTCTTTGTGATTGTGTGCCCCGTCTTCATTAGTTTTACCTGCGTCCAATCAGTTCTCTGATTGTTTCTCGGTCACTCTGTATTCTTAATTCTTCAACCTCCTTGTGGTTGTTCAACTGCTTCCGTTTTGTATCATGAAGTAAGTTTTGGGTTAAAGTCACTGATTGTTCCTGTTGCTCGCTTGATCCCGTGTCTTGATTTGGGCCCTTTAGTGAAAAACCATCATGACTGCTTAAAAAAAAAAATCAATCTGGTCTGTTTGGCATTTTGCGTAACATCATGGACAATAATTTAACATTGTATTTAGTAAAATTTATTGAATTTGTTTATTTTACTGAAGGTAGAATAAAAAAGAGAGCACACTAAATTTGATCCTGCCCGTTAAAATCCTTGCTGGATTATATGCAGGACTTCCAGGTTGGTGATGAAAACACCACCTGCAAAAAACTGCTATCCTTTAAAACCAACAATTAAATCACTGATGATGAATCATTTTTAGCACAAATTCAACAGACTATGTGAAGTGTGTTAAAAAGTAAAGCTACAGGTCCATTTCTCTTCTTAATTAGTATTTACAGATGTCAAACATCAAATGACGTATTTATGAAAATAGCTTAAACCCAATAACCATGTGAGGCATTTATTAAAATGCTCTCATATAGTCTGTATATAAAAGATAGATGCAGCCATGGTGAGGTCACCCATCGGCATGTGTTTGAAGCATCGAATTCATCTTTATAGCTGCCACTTTGGTTTCTAGAGCCAGACGTTGCTGTATTATCTGTTTTCAGTAACTTGTATGGATGAATATGTGATAGTGTTTGGTTTCAGTTTTTCTCAAGAATAGTCTGAGAAAATACACAATAAATGAGATTTCAAATGCAGTGTAGCCTCACTTTCATGGTCTGTCTCCAGGGAACACAGATCATGTGATTTCAAAGAAGACACAGCAAGCAGATTTAAACAGAAAAAGAGGAGATAGTTTATTTGAAATGTACAAAAGCTATATACACATGCACACGCACGCACACACACACACACACACATACCAAGCATAGTAAAAGTGGATGGTAGCATACACACAAACATTTAAAAGGCTACTTTCAGCAATTTCAGCAAACATAATAAAACAGAGGAATTTGCAGACCTAGTTTGCCGATCCTGTCCGAAAACAGGATTTCATTATCAAAGTCTGAGTCCTTTCCTGGACTCTGCAGTTCATTGAGAACCCAGGGGAGAGACAGGGTGCACTGACGGGGGTATGAATGTGTTAATTAGAGTTGGATCTCTACTGAGAACACACAGAGGTACTTGTATATTCTTTCAGAGAGTGCTCCTCATCAGATGCGCAGGGGTTCATGTGCCCTGATGGACTAACACTGATGCATATCCTTGTCCTTTTCAATCATTTACCCTTGTGAGATGGGACCATGGAGAATGAATGTCTCTGATCCAGAGGGCAAAGAAGGAAATCACATTTCACATCCTCACAATCTCAGATTATGATCAGAAAGCACTTCAGTTCTGTGGATCACAATGCCTAACAACCATGTGTTTAAACTAGGGCTGTCAAATATGTTCACTTTGTAAACTGCATTCAGTGAAATTTTATGACACACACACAATGTTGGTAACACATTTCAGATGGTAAACATTTATTACATAATGACATGCTCCAGCAAACACAGCTTTTATTTCCTCTGCTGCAGGATGGTTAAGTGCATATATGAACTACAACGGCAGTTTATTTTTTTTCCAATACTGGCATTTATTAGGGAGCAGAGATACGCTGATATTTACTGGAACTTATTCGACTCCCAGACTCAAATACTCGAATGAGTGCACGCACATGTAGTAACATGCTAGCTTTACCTGACAACATCTGCACCGAACCTCATTTTTATTTTTTATTTTGTTTAAATTTTGGGATTTCTGTGGTTGTCTTTGGCTTGGCATGTTTCTCCTGTTTGTACAGCAGCGTCTAACCTTGCTGTACTACACATGCTTCTGTTATCCAGTTATTTTTCATAACTTATTTAACCTGTTTCCGTTGTTTAATGGTTGTCAGCAAACAGTTTCTACTGTGGCTACATTACTTTGACCTATTAGTGTGTTATATATCCACCCAGATTCTGGTAAAGCCAAAGGAAAATATAATTTAGCATAACCAACTGATTAAAAAAAAGAAAAGAAAATGATAGAAGAAAAAATAATTTAATGACTATTGAAAATCATGACCATCCCTGGTGTATAATTTGGCCTCAGGCTTTTTTAAAAATTTATTTGGTCACTGTGTCAAAGTAGGACTGCAGGCTAGACCCTGCCCCACCTATTTGGTGCTATGGTAGCTCAACATGCCCTCCCATCTATGCACATTCATGGATGTCAGCAACAGGAAGAGGCACTGAGCATGACACTGATGAAGTCAGACAAAGTATTAGAAGCAAGGCGCTGGGACTGGGGTGGGTTAAAAGCAACTTGCAGATGTGTTGAAAATGTAGAGGGTAGAGCTACTTAATCAGATCACCCTGTGTGAGGTTTGCCAGTTAGTCGTAGTAGAGAACCATAACATGGGCTGAAGAAACTGCTCCACGCTTCCATAATCAGTTTTTGCAACTGCCTATTATCGTTTAGTTAAGTCAAAATGAATTTATCATTTATAAACTGTTTGACAGCTCTAGCTTAAACAGCAAGTGTGTAACATATCTTAGACCAGGTACCATACAGTATCATCTACAAACATAAGTCTATCCACATATTGTGTCCATTTCCTGATAATTCGGTTTTTGTGTCATATTCAGATTCTCACACTTGATGACCTCATCAAGGCACTATGTGAACTGCTATCAGTGCACCACTTTTTAAAAGGCCTATTACGCTGGCAAATACTGAATGGCAATTGTTCTTGATCTGTTTATATACCCTGGGCTATCATAGACTTGTAGCTAAAAAGTATGGCTTTTTAACAAATGATAGAAAATGGTCCTTAACCCTATCTATATTTACTATTAACCTTTTAATGTAACATATAATCTGAAACAAATATTACAGGATAAGCATATTACTATGAACAGTGTAGAAAAAGTTTATGTAATGAGCAGTTTTGCATTGTACAATCAGTGCTTTCTTGTATAGTCTTTATATTCCTGATATTCATGGTAAGAATGGATGGATGATGAGGTGTTTGATTGCTCTCAGCTAATCATGTTGAGGAACTTGCTTTCCTCAGCCAGGGCTGTGAGCATAGAGTTCATGTCACCGATGGCCATGTTGCCAATCCCTGCCGGTACAGAAGCGAGGGTGACAGAGTTGCGGGGGGTGGTGAGACGTGAGGAACTCTGAGAGAGGCTCTGCAGAAGGCCTGGACTCAGGGTGCCCGACATTAGGCTTGAGTGGTCTCCGTCATCAAGCATGGTATCAAAGTCGATCTGGGCGTGCTCTGTGGCCCCAGATCCACTGGTGGAAGAATCCACTGTGCTGCTGGAGACCTGGTTGACGCCTGGTGAAGCCATGTTGGCTGCAGAAGTGTTGTTGCTGGAAGGAGCCTGACTGGCACATGGGGACATGGGAGCATCAAAGCTGACAGAAGGTGGCTCAAACACGTGAATCTGACCTGTGTAGAACACAGCGGAGTTTGGATTTTCTGAGTTGCTGTCATGGGCTACTGACCCACTGGGCCTCTTTGGGCTTGCCTCAGAGGTATCTATACCTTGACCGGGGCTAACATCCGATGACTTGAGCAATCGGCTCGGTTGTGTCATGCTAGACCCTCCGTGTGGTCTGGCAGTAGACCTGGGCTCTGTGGGAGGCCTGGGTTGTAACATTCCTCTGCCTCCATTTTGGACATTGTGCTGCTGTTGGGAGATAACGTAATTTTGCTGAGGATCCACTTGGCTGACATAAGAATAGACATCAGTCTGTGTCCTTGATCTGTAACTTTGGACCTCTTGATCTGCCATACTGTGGCGCGTAGGTCTAATGCTAGTGCTTCCAGATATAGAACTTGGGATTGCTTCTTGGCCAAACCCTTGCTGAGGACTCATTTGGTTACTAAAGTTCACGCTGTTGCATTGTCTCTGTTGTGGATGCTGCTGTAGAGAGATGTTCATCAGCCTCTGGTTGCTGTGGTTTGCATACCCCTGCATAGATATATTCTGACTCATAGGCACAACTTGCTGGTTGTTGCTCAAGCCCTGACCTTGCGTCTGGAAGGACCCAAAGTTCTGCCTCTGCTGTACAACAGCTAGATTCCCCTTGAGAGGATTCTGCTGCTGTTTGGGAAGCTTGGCTGTGGTGTCCACTGTTCCTGAACTCACCTCATTCCACTGCACTGGCATGTTATTCTTGTTCATGTTTTCTGATGGTGCTGCAAAAGGCTGCTGAGCACCTCCCGGACCCATCTGGCAGGACTGCACATCCTGATTGGACTGAGCCATCATGGTATCCACCATGGCCATCCTCCTCTGCGCAAAAAATGATGCTGGTGGAGCCACGCCTGTCTGGTAGCCCTGAGTCTGACCGTGGGAATTATAGTCGGTTTGTCCCAAGTTGTGAGTAGAGGGGCCAGAATTCTGTGACCTGAGGTACTGTACCACATCGTCTGGAAGCACCATATCATCCTCTCCACCCTGCTCACCCCCAACCATCATTCCATCTACCGCCATGTTCTCCATGGCTACATTCTCAGAAATGCTTGGTGGTCTGGGGGCAAATGGGTAGCGTTGCAGGCTTCCATCAGAGCGAGTATAGCCCTGTGTAGCCAGTGTCTGGTGACGTTCTGCAGCTGGTGGAGCATTCATGGGGTTCATGCTGCTCATGCTGTTGTAGCGCTGGACCCTTGGAAGGGAGAGAGGGTCCAGTGTCGTACGACGCACTGGATCACTTGCACGGCGTGGCAGATTGGTGGGTACTTCGTGGGGCATCATGCTCTGCGTGCCATATCCAATATCACTGCACCGTCTTGGTACAGTTCCAGAGGGTGGCTGATGGAAGGGATGCGATGAGCCTTCTTGGGAGTCGCTGTAGAGTGCCATGCGAGTCCTTAGGCTCATTCGTTCCATGTTGGGAAGAGGAGTAGGTGGTGCTCCACCAATGGCAGCAGCATACTTTGCCTTTAGCCGATAATGTTGTGCTGGTGTAAGACTGAGAAGGCTTGGAAGGCCTGCTCCACCTCCTCCGCTGACACCGCCACCTCCGCAGTGGCTGGCCTCACTGGATCGACGAGACAGGTCAGTAGAGATTGGGTCATAGGAGTCAGCTGAACTGATATTGTTGTGGCGATTAGCGCCAAACTGGGATGTCCCACTGGAGCGACGGCTGGAATAGCACGGGGATATACCAGAGGAGCGCCGGCTTAGGGTGTAAGCAGAGCTGATGGTGCTGGTGGTGCTGTCACGGCGCTCGTTCAGCTGGTTCAATAGCGTCACTTCACATGACAACAGGTCATCCATGCGTTGGGCAGGGTACGAACCACTTAAGTTACTCATGTTGGAGTTCTCCAGCAGGGACCCTGGCAGATAGAAAGATTAGAATAAATATTATTATAACATTATATATGTACATGAGTTTGTAATTACAGAGGAAGCATTTCTCAGCATCGCTGTTTTTGGTCTTTATAGCTAGTGTCCACCTTCATAACAACTGTACAGGGACTGAAAGCTAGAGCACTGTCCGCTTTGTTACATGTACAGGGAGCTGTAGCTCCTAGCTGTCTGCAAACCTCACCTGATTAAACTCACCATCACTTTTGGAAAAAATAATACGGCTGTTGTGTAGTTAACTGTACTGACAGACTGTCCAAGAAGTCTGTGCTCCAGTTTGGGTAGTAAAATTCTGGGATTTTACTGGAATGTACTGAGCATTTATTAGCAGGTTTCTGTATGACAGACAAGTTTTGGATGTTCCTTATTAGTGCTAGCATTAGCTTACTGCTCCAACCTTTAATTGAAATATGATCACTTATTTAAGAAAAAACTAAGCAGCACATATAACTAAAGCTTCGGCTTCAAGATGGGTATAAATGGTTCATTCCATCTCCATCTTCACAGTCTATGACAGTAAAGCCCAATATGAGGTGTTTCTTTAACATGTAGTCCTTACCAACTGCAGGTATGGGAGGCAGCTTCATGCTAATGCGTTGGCCCTGCAGCGGCTGTGGCGCAGAGTTAACCCAGGGGCAGGGGTCCCTCACCGTCTTCAGCCTTTCCTTCTTGATGTTTTCCAGCTTGATGGTGACTGCACCACCGTGACCCGTGGCTTTCCTCAACTGAAGCCCCATCCCAGCCTGCTGGCCTCCAGTGGGAACAGTGGAGTCAACCATGGGGCACTCGTCCTGTGCGCTGAGGTCCCCGAAGCTGCCCCCGCTGTGCACGGCCATCTCTACCCCACTGTCGTTGTTGTTGGCGCTGCTGAGAGGCGATGGCTCGCTGCTACATGACGAGTGGCCACCAGGACTGGACTGATACGTCTGGAGGAGGACAGACGAAAGTGTCATGAATCAAAATCCAAGAGGTTAGTAGATCATAGAAATAGTCACTTTTTTTCTACCTTAATAAAAAATATATAAATTAAAAAAAAAAAGAAATATTCACTTTGCTGTTTGAGTAAATGAAAAAGAAAATAAAATGATTAAAAAGTGAAATTTAAAAATGAATATAAATGAAAGAAAACTAAAACACAGCCTTGTGCCAAGTTAAAAAAATCCCATTAGATATTCTTCAATATTAAATAATTACCACAGTTAAAAAATTCTGATTGTGATGGTGTTTTGTAATAACTAATGTAGCCCCATAGCTTCATACTCTTGTGAATTATAAAGGAGGTTTATTTATTTAAGAAAACAAGTGGATAATAGAAAAGTTCTGTGAGCAGCACACATGCTACACAAGTCCCTGCCTTTCAGTATTAATGTGACAATGACTTTTATCGTTGGTTGAATATTGAGCTCGTAGATATAAAAATCCAGTGTAATGGCAGCGTAAGACTGTCTTACATGCAAAGGAGCAAGAAAATATACGAACATGGATGATCATGCACCATACATTTCCACCATACAGGAATTTGAAAAAAAAAGACATTGAAACAGGCTGCGTGCTCACCTCAGTGAAGTCTGTCCATTAGCAGGGTTTCAAAGGAAAGAGAGAAGCAGGTTCAGACAACAAACAGAGAGTGAGTTTGAAAGGACGCATGCAGGGAACCTCTCACTAACAATGTTAGTAAAAATGTAAGATAACTGTTGTTCCCCTGTTTTAAAGCTCACCCAGAGCCACTGTCTCGTGTAACCGATAAACAGGACTCACCATAGAGTTCTCTGTCTTAATAGACTTGACTTGTAGGCAGTCTTCCCCTCCCCTAGAGGTGCTGTTGGCCTCCACCTTGCCATCTACGGCTCTTGAGCTGTGCTTGGAGTTTGCCTCATTCTCCCCATTGCCTTTGGGTGGCTGTAGCCTTGGGGGAGCGTCACTTCGTTGTTTCTTGGTCACGTGAGCTTCGGGTCCATGGACCGTCTTGACGTGCTTCCTGAGAGAGCTTGGGTCCGTGTAGCGCTTGGTACAGCCCGGGATTTTACACACATATGGTTTCTGCCAAGATGGATTCAACATGATTTTTACTGTGGCAAATCTAAATCTTAGCTGACCTTTCCGGCTGCTCAGATGAGATCCATGTGTGAACTTACCTCGTTGGAGTGTGTGCGGTTCTGGTGCTTCGCTCTGTCTGAGGCATTTGAGAAAGCTTTGTTGCAGCCTTCGTGCTCACATACATAGGGTTTCTCCCCAGTGTGGGACCTGAGATGGGTCTTGAGATTCTCCAGGCGGGAGTAAGCTTTAGAACAGCCCTCAAACTGCAGAGAGACAGACAATGGGACAGACGGACAATGAGATTGATGCTTGAGTGCTGTTGTTTTGTCTGCAGCTGGCCAGAGAAAAGAGCCGGAACACAACAACAAAAACAACACGAAAAAGCTCTTTTTGTTCCAGTTTTTAAATGTCATTTACTCTTGGACTCTTGCCCACCTACTGTGGTGTGCCACACAAAAGCAAAGCTCTGCTACACTTTGGTAAAAAAAAGGGCTATTACACAAAAAATCCAAACTAAGTGTGAGGTGTGGTAGAGCTCTTTGTCTGGTGCACTTTGTTGAGACAAAGAGAAGTCTGTGTTTAGCCTTTGTATTCACTTATACTGTACAAGCTATAATTTGGTATTCCTTCTGAGCAGTCATTGTGAGTGTAATTGGCTCTGAAATTAAAAGAGAATCAAATTAGAGCAGCCCAGAAAGGGGATGAAAAAGTCCGAAGACTCATCCTTAAAAAGAAAAGACTAAAGGGGAGTTAGGAGAAGATGCATGTGGGATTTGTGTGCAGAATATACAGCTTGGTCTTAATAAGGACCCATGGCCCCCTGCTTGTCTGCAAATTTTAATTACACACCCACACTGTCAATCAGCTTTCTTAACTTTATCCTTCACAAGTCATCTGTTTTAATACATTCATGAGAGGCCCAGAGTGAGCTTTGAAGCCAAGCAAACAGGCCCCTCAATTTGATCTTCACACAGCAAATGAAGGCTTCAATGAAAGCCCATGATTTATCAAACACGGGAAATATAGTGGTGGTACGCACAAAGAAAATCATATCAAGTTTTTTTGTAAGGGAGTTTTTTCCACAGGCGAAACTGACGCACTAAAGGGCTGACATTCTTTGACTGCTAAAGCGGCGGAATAAATTCCAACTTCAACTAGTTGGTTAACATGTTAACAAGAAGGTTAAAGGGCCTCTCCAGTGTTTTTACACAGATCAATGAACCAACTGTGAGAATTAAAGTCAGTGTGTATAACTAGTTGTATCATGTCTGCTGTGGCTCTGCAGGAACTTTAGTGAATCTGAGAGGAGATTTTGTGTCTGCCTTCTCATTGTTATGCACACACACATTGTTAAAAAGCATTTTTGCAGATCACACCTAGGTTTATGGTTTTGGAAACAAAGTTAATACATCATTGCTTAACAGGTGGGTGCCATAACCTATGCCATATATGTTATGAAAGGAATTCTTCTTCCCCCCTGTTGCCTTTTGCTGCTTATAGTGGATCGTTAGGTTTTCTCTGTATGTCTGTATTTCTCTGGATGTCACCAACTATGCCAAATAGCTTGCATTGCAATCCGAGCTGGAAAATGGTGCTGGTTGCATTATGGGAGATGATGGCTTGTGATACCAGTCAGCAAATTACGAGGCGCTTACCGTGCACTTATGGGGCTTCTCCCCCGTGTGTCGCCTCATATGGACCACCAGCATGTACTGTGCCTTGAAGGGCTTTTGCTCCCGTGAACACTCCTCCCAGCGACACACAAACTCTTTCTTCTCACCGTGGATGTGGTCATTGTTGATATGCTGTAGATACAGATTGATTCCAGTCAATTGTCACAGTTCTATGATACTTTTCCCTAAAGATGAAAATAATGTAACAAAATGCTAAAGAAGAGTCTGCAAATTCTTGTCTTTTTCCCACCAGAATAGGCTCCTGCCTCATGTGTCCATGCATGCTTGACTCACTGACATCACTCTGCAATCCATTATAGCTGACAGTTATTATGCCTTTGTCAATAGTAGACAAAAGCTACAAAGGCTGTGTGTGTGTGTGTGTGTTTTTTCAGGCTGTGTTTGTGTTCACATTTCTCTTGGAAAAGGAACTACAGCGGATCCTTGTAAAAAGTGATCAAGAAGAGGATTTCCGACTGTATTCCTTCATTTCCTTCATTTCGATGGATCATGAGGTCAATCGAAACAGTTTCTGTGTGACTTTTTAACTTGCACTTTAAATATGCAGAAAGTCTTCAGAGAAATTAGACAGTACTCAATTATCAAAGGCATGAAGAGAAAAAAGAATGGCATGCTGGAGTCCAACATACATACAGCCTAGAGCACTTCAAGGCAAAATGTCCTCAGCTACAGCATATTTAGTCACATGACTTCTGCTGCAGTCAAACATGATTTCTGTGAACAGACACATTTCAAAACACTTGTCCCGTCCACCGCATTCAAATATCCACACACCCAGAGGAACCACCTCATTTCCTGAGGACATCCAAGCCTACAATGCTCCACTTATGTGGCCACTTCTTCACCAGCAGAAAAGGTCTGTGGTTAGCAATTCTACTGAGGGCTATTCTGGGAGGAAGGAGGAAGAGGAGGAGGAATGGAAAAAAGTGTGTGGCCCACGCAGAGGTCTCTATTTTCAGGTTACACACTACTGTGAATCCGTAATTTGGAGGCTCTTGAAACAGGATTACTCTGGTCAAACAGAAGCCACAAGAAACCCACAGGTGTGTGTGTGTGTGGTGTGTATGTGTGTTTGTTTTGGTCTCTTTTCGCTGATGATGTTTGAACCTCATGTGAAACCCCAGATGTGCTCAGAGAGGTGGTGTTAGAGATCACACCCATGTAATTTATACTTTATAGAAAACAGGAACATAAACGCACTGTTGGCACTGTTTATCAGCACAGTCCTCTACTGGTCCACAGAGTTTGCAAAGTTGTTAAAGGTAACTCTGGTCCTGCGTGTAGCAGCTTATAGCGACCTGTCCACCTCCTCCCATTGGTCTGTAGGTCTATGGACCTGACATATGACTCTCCTACTGCTACTCGGAGGTGACTCACTGCCAGTCAGAAAGTGTAGAGAAGAGAAGTTGGCCTGGAAAAAGCAAGGGTGCATAACCCCAAAGTTGCTGGCATGACGATGGATTTATGGCCGGCCCTTTGGGCTTCGGGGGTTGGGGGTGTTGCTGGGAGTAAGAGGTTAGGGGTTAGGGGTCTCTGGGCTTGTGGAGGGGTGGGCACAGCTGCAGGGCTTGGGCTTGAATTTGGCGAGAGCCAGCAGGCTCATTAACATTACACGTGTCGACCCAACAGAAAGAGACCGGTCACTACTCAGCTTTCTGAGTGGACCCAATCAGCATGGATTTAATTAGGAGCAGAAGAGGAATCTGAACTTTTGAGTTTTTACACAACAACAGTAGTCTATCCACTGTCATTGCAAACAAAACAGCAGATACTGACAACATAATGAGCAACACAACATAGAACCCTAACAACCACCAGGGATTAAGGAGGGTAGTATGTATTTCTTTAAAGGAATTTCTAATTTAGCAGTTTTGGTGTTTCCCAACGTTAACTGAGTATTTTTTTTTTTTTTGCAACTCTCAACCATTTTAGAATATATTTTAAATTCATAGACAAGCCCCATGCTCTTATTTTGAAAAAGTTGGTTACTGCTAACAAGGTCCCCAAAAGTTGATTCTGTCCATCTAGACAGTGTTTTCAGTGTGAGAACAGAATCAGCTTTTTAGGATTTCCTTTCCTTGATGATTGAGGATGCATTAAGACATGCTAACAAGGTCGTTCTTGTTGTGGTCTGTGATGTCTCGTATTGGGACTAGGGCTGCCACAAACGATTATTCTGATAGTCGACTAGTCACCGATTATTTTTGCGATTAGTCGACTAATCAGATCATCATCCATTGGACATACAGCGTACAGCTTATTGCACCAGCAGCATTTGCTCTTATAGAACTATCATTAGCTTACAGCTTTAAGTGTTTAAGGTGCTAACTAAAAATAAAGACAAGATGGTAGTTTATTAAATTTTAATGAAATTTGCAGATTGTTTTGGTGAAGTTTAATAAACTCCTTGCTATCTAAAATATAACAGGACACCGGAGTAAATTCTTGAGCATCTCACACTTCTGATCATCAGCTGTCTGCTTGACATTTATTCAGCTGTGTAAAAACTATAACTTTAATCTCAGCCAAACCGATTTACTCAGGAACAAATAAAACACTGAAAAAAAGAAAACAATAACATTTTTAAGTTATCTAAGTGACTTATATATCATGTTTAACCTGAGCAGTGAAAGACGGCGGTGGGTTTGAAAACGATTTGCCGAGTCCGGTGTTCTCACGGCTCTAGTTAGCCTAGCCCCCGGCTAGCTATCGAGCTAGTGGGTAACAGACGTCTCCGAAAACGTCGGAGCGCTTTTGAAAATATGTGGTGTCCTGATAAACTGAGCCGATATTTGAGGTTTACACAGCTACATTCTCGCCTGAAAATATGTTAAACGTTTATTTTGTGACCCAGAAAGAATAATAAGAGTAACATTAAAACTAACTAGCTGCCACCATTGTTGGAAACTGAGCTGGGCTGCGCTATGAATTCTGGGACACTGCTTCTTCTTCTTCAGGGTTTAACGGCAGCTGGCATCCTTGTATATGCAGTGCTGCCATCTTCTGTTTCAGTCTTTTATTACACTCTTAAATCCTGCTACTTATTCCTGCATCTTTTGTGATCTTACAAAGCTTCAAACGACACGTCGACTATTAAATCAGTCGTCGATGATTTTGATAGTCGACGTAATCGTGGCAGCCCTAATTGGAACAGACTCTAACTCCATCTTTGGAGTTCCTGTTCTGCTTTTAAAATCTGTTTCTGGATGAGCAGTCCAGAACCTGCAGCAGGTGCAACTGGTTTAAACTGACTGAGGCTGCAGGGCCGGTTCCTGAAGTCTATATTACTTATTAATCTAATTAAGAAAGCTTGCACGTCCCCGTCCACCACTGCAATATAATCTAATCCTGTGGGAATCGCTGGATTTATGTCCTCTGTCTGCTGGCTGGCTGTCATTAAAAAACAAACAAACAAAAAAATCCAACTGAGTACTCAAAAACTCACATGAACGAGTTGGTCCTGGGTATCGTACTCTTTGGAGCAGCCATCCCAGTGGCAGTTGGTTTCATAGATGGCCTCTGGCTCCTGTTTACACTCATCTTTATCCAGATCTTCACTCAGGTCCAGGATCCCCCCACCGTGGTCCTGGAGACAAAGTGTATGATACTTCAGATATCAAATACGTGCATCCAATTTAAATGAGTTAAAAAAACAAAACAAAAAACAAGACTTCAGCTTTCACAAGTCATTAAGAAGCATTCTGCACTATTTTGCATTTCTCTTATCTTATCAACCTCTTTATTACAGAGGAAGAGTTGTAAAAAAACACACCTCTTGTCACACATTAAAGCTGCATTTGTATCCATTACTTATAATCAATTAGAGACTAATTAGCAACCTAACTTTAAGGTGCACCAATCTCCCACTTTAAGGAGCTTATTATTTTCTCACCTGAGACGATGGTGAAATGGGCAGTGGACCCTCTGCTTCAGTCTTCACCTTTGACCTCTTCGTGGTCAGTGGGTTGACAGTGCTGCTGACTGCTGGATCTCCACTGGCGTTCTGAAAGACATGAAGGAACAGAGGAATGTGTTTTTAACTGGTTGTCATTACCTACATTTCTTTTTATTGAAGGAAAATTAGTTAGAATTATCGTTCTTAAAGGGACAGTACACCTAGAAATAGTTTTTTATATATATATATATATATTTTTTTTTTTTACACGTTTATCCTTGGGCCACTAGTTTTGCTTGTCAATCCTAATGCCCAGTTTACATCAAGCTTTTGGTGTTTTGATGTTTGCCTTCTCTTGAATATAATGGAGCTTACTTTTTGGTGCTTAAAATACATTAATAAATAAACTCAGCAGCAATGTTTCATTTCGGAAATCATGGCCTAAACAAAACAAAACAAAAAACACAAATCCCAAATCCTTATTTTTACAGGTTTTGATTTTAAAATTTTGAGTTTGTCTCTTTAAATATTCAGCCATCCCTTGACACTGGAAATATCTCATTCATAATTTATCAGCCAACCATTCCATTACTCGTAATACAAACCATCCCTAACCATTCATTCATTTGTGGACTATTAATCTTCCCACTCCCTCACCTTTTAATTAAACCAACGACTGAGCACCAGACTCTACTGCTTTCCACACCACAGGGAGCAGAGGGGAGTCACAAAGTTACGCTGTGCCGCTGCAAAGAGATGTGACAAGTCCTGGTTGCACCAGGCACCACGGTTCATAAGTCAGACTAGGACCCGCCGCCGAGACTAAACAGTTTAGACTGCTTTATGATTGCCAAAGCCGCAAGGAAATATGAAAGAAGAGGAGTTATTACCCTCGCTACAGATTGGGGGAGGAGGCAGGGTCGGGGCTAGAGGAGTATGTGAGTGTATGTGGGGGCGACGAGAGGGCTTTGATCTGCCGACTGATTCTGAAAAGACAAAGACTACGAAGGCCTGTTAAAGCTCTAATGGAGAAGAAAAGAAAGGATGGATATGAGTGTGTGTGTGTTTATTGAGGTTCGTTGGAGGAAGTCCAACAATGGAGAGGGGGGTCTTCTAATCCCACCCAGAACACTACAGTGCAGTTCTAGGGGCCTCGATGATTCATTCAGTTGGCTGGAAACCAAGAGGGAAATATGGTTCTGATCACTACAGAAATAAAGCTGTGTGTGTGAGTGTGTGCAGAAAGGTGCAAATATACAGTACACTCCAGCACACTTGGATTCAGCAGACACAGTGCTGAAACAGAGCTGGAGGCAGTGGCGTGTAGTGTGAGATGGAGTGATTCACCAAGTGGGAAGTTTACATTACGAGGGGCTGCGGTGTTGACAGTGGGCTGATAAAGTGGAGCAGAGGAGACAGTGGGAAGTAAGACAGATGGAACTGGGAAGGAGCCTCAAACATTTTTCTGACCTGAGACATCATTTGTAAAAATACTTCATGATAACTCATGCAATTAGGCTTTGTTCCAGCACCTCAAATCTATGTCTCGGTTCACTATCTTCTTTTTACGACTATTTGCTGGAGTTTTATAGCTTCTAAAATTATCTAAAAATATCAAAAGAATGTGGAGAAACAGCAGTTTGGACATTTTGTCCAAGATGTCTGCGTATCGTGTTGCAGAGATATCAACTTGTGTTTGGTTTATTTTACTTGTTATGGTTGCTATGTTTGTTTTTTTTACATTTTATTTTCATGTGTAACTAAAATGTGTATGCTATTACATTTGAAGAATTCTTTTCAAAGTATTATTTTACAATTTCTCTTACCTTTATCTACGGTCAAGTTCAAGAGACACTTAAACTCTTTGCAATGTTTTATGTATCAGGACAAAATAAAAATAATCATTTGCTCCTTATTAGGTCTTAAATTTATTTAAAGACAAAACATTAGATGAACAACAACATGTGAAAAATGAGACCGTGGCATTAGTAACAATGTAAAAACTAAGTACAGCCCAGAAATTCCAAACAAGTCATATTTGTTCAGTCTTTTTCTAATTGTACTGTCATGAACATTAGCATAACAACTGAGGCCTGCAGAATCTGAGGTGTACAGTGGGGCAAAAAAGTATTTAGTCAGCCACCGATTGTGCAAGTTCCCCCACTTAAAATGATGACAGAGGTCAGTAATTTGCACCAGAGGTACA